TGAACAATTGATAGATTACAATAGACAATTGAAATCGTACAAAATAATGATTGGGAATTGTGAAAGAACATTAACGAGTATACGATAGACAGTTTACGAAATTAAAGATGATGGAGGAAAAATGGAAATCAATAGTTAATGATGAACAATGAACAATTAACATAGGAAGGTGAACAATTCATAGATTACAATAGACAATCAAAATCGTACAAAATAATGATTGGCAATTGAGAAGGAACATTAAGGAGTATATGATAGGCAGTTTACGAAATTAAAGATAATGGAGGAAGAATAGAAGTCAATAGTTAATGATGAACAATGAACAATTAACATAGGAAGATGAACAATTCATAGATTACTAGACGATTGAAATCGTACAAAATAATGATTGGCAATTGAGAAGGAACATTAAGGAGTATATGATAGGCAGTTTACGAAATTAAAGATAATGGAGGAAGAATAGAAGTCAATAGTTAATGATGAACAATGAACAATTAACATAGGAAGATGAACAATTCATAGATTACAATAGACGATTGAAATCGTACAAAATAATGATGGGCAATTGTGCAAGAACATTAAGGAGTATACGATAGAGGAGGAAGAATAGAAGTCAATAGTTAATGTTGATGGAGGAAGAATAGAAATCAATAGTTAATGATGAACAATGAACAATAAATAAAGGAACGTGAACAATTCATAGATTGCAATAGACAATTGAAATGTCACAAAATAATCAATGGCAATTAGGGCCAATTTTTTTTGTTAACAATATTTATTTTGAACATACAATGCATAACAAAACACAAAACCAAATGGCCTGACAAGATGGTGATGGAGTGTGCGACTTATATGCCGAAATAGAAGCAAGAAACCTAAAACTTTTGATCAGCTCTATTAGCTCAATTGGTTATGGCGCAGCGCTGTAAGCAAAAGGACGCAGGTTCGAACCCCTGATAGAGCGATTAAGTGCGATTAGTAATTGGTTGCGATCAGTCGTGTGGCGGTTGTCGAGGTACGGACCTCGCAAATGCATGTGACCCTCAAAGTGGAATCGTTGTGCATCTGTTTCAGCTTGCCAAACTTGGCACACCAATAGCGGTGCACATCCTCTATTAGCGTTGTAAGGAGTGCCAGAGGCGGACGGGTACGGTTGAGCCGGAAACCAACTCCAAAGTTTGCGAGGTACGGACCTCGAAAAAAGCCAAGCCACATGGCTCAGTGACGGGTTGGAACACATACGGGTGCAAGAGCAAGGACAGAAGAACAGCTACTCCACATTGAAACTGCCGTGTTTCCTCTACATTCACCCGAACCCAAATCAACTTCTACACTGTGCAGATGCAATCCATGTCAGACCCTATCCATCTTCCTCGGACATTGCGCCGTCTGAGTTGACTGAGTCTGAATTGGTTCGCGGTTCAGGCTAAATTGGTCCGTCTTTTAACGTACAGGAGGGAACTTCCGTGCCTTTACTTGAAAAAGATTGCCTACTTCGTGCCACATCCACCCATTGTCATGCAGCATATGCGATGAAGTCCCTTCTCTTCCTATATCTACAAAATACAGAAAAGTTTACAGAGCTTGCTCGAATTTGCCGTGGTCTTTTTCAGCTTCAAGAAGATGTTACTCTGCTGTCCGAAACTTTCTCAGATCATGGATGCCACTTTCTGGACTTCGCTGTTTGGAAATACCCTCGAGAAGCTGTGGTATGGACAGGGAGCGGGAGGTGGGATCCCCTATCTATAGCAGGAAGACCCTGTGGTCTGGCCTTGCCTCTGGTTTCACGACAAGGATATCTCCCGTTGTGGCTGAGAAGCTTGTTATCGCGGTGAAAGGTTGGTGGAGATTTTGGACAATCAAATACAAAGAATCAGTTCTCTACTCCAGCAGCATGCTCCAGCCCACGAAATCAGAGGAGTCTCGCCCCTACAGCATCGCTGGGCCCATGAAATGAAAAGACTTAGTGAAAAAACCAGCTACAAGAGAGATTGAGGTAGCATGAATTACAGTTGAAGCCGAATAAATTGCATCTGGAAGGTCCGTCCATGGTTAATAAAAATGGGTTGGACGGTCCGTCCGCGCCTAATAAAAACGCGTTGGACGGTCCGTCCGTGGCTAATAAATTCGAGGTGGACGGTCCGTCCGCATTTAATAAATTCGCGTCGGACGGTCCGTCCGAATGTTATTAACATTCCGGCTTGGAATAACTGTTAGACGTTTTTAGCTTGGTTATTAAACCCAGCGGTGTACTTCTTCTGTTCGGCTTGTATGGGGTGCCAGTCGCGCGAGCTCGGTTGAGCCGGAAACCAACTCCAAAGTTTGCGAGGTACGGACCTCGAAAAATCACGTGACCCCCGGAGTGGGATCCAGTACGGATTCTTACCTGCTCGCCAGACTCGGTATACCAAAAGTGGCCTTCTTCATCAATTTGGCTTGTATGGGGTGCCAGTCGCGCGCGGGCGCGGTTGAGCCGGAAACCAACTCCAAAGTTTGCGAGGTACGGACCTCGAAAAATCACGTGACCCCCGGAGTGGGATCCAGTACGGATTCTTACCTTCTCGCCAGACTCGGTATACCAAAAGTGGCCTTCTTCATCTATTCGGGCTTGTATGGGGTGCCAGTCGCGCGCGGGCGCGGTTGAGCCGGAAACCAACTCCAAAGTTTGCGAGGTACGGACCTCGAAAAATCACGTGACCCCCGGAGTGGGATCCAGTACGGATTCTTACTTTCTCGCCAGACTCGGTATACCAAAAGTGGCCTTCTTCATCTATTCGGGCTTGTATGGGGTGCCAGGCGCGCGCGGGCGCGGTTGAGCCGGAAACCAACTCCAAAGTTTGCGAGGTACGGACCTCGAAAAATCACGTGACCGTCAGGTATACCAACATCGATGTACTTCTATTCCGCTTGTATGAGGCGCTACTCGCATGCGGGTATGGTATCACGTAACCCTTGGGATCGAGGTACAGATCTGGACCTCGAGTAGCTAAACTCATGGCCCCTGGGGTGGGATCGGGTACGGATTCTTACCTGCTCGCGAGACTCGGTATGCCCCCATCGACGTACTTCTATTCCGCTTGTATGAGGCACTACTCGCATGCGGGTATGGTATCACGTTAACTTTTGGGATCGAGGTACAGATCTGGACCTCTAGTAGCTAAACTCACGCGACCCCTGGGGTAGGATCGGGTACGGATTCTTACCTGCTCGCCAGACTCGGTATACCAAAAGTGGCCTTCTTTATCTATTTGGCTTGTATGGGGTGCCAGTCGCGCGCGAGCGTGGTTGAGCCGGAAACCAACTCCAAAGTTTGCGAGGTACGGACCTCGCGAAGTCGCGTGACTCATAGTACCCGGTTGGAACCACTTTCCCGCGTGCAAGAGCAGGACAGAAGAACAGCTACTCCACATTGAAACTGCCGTGTTTCCTCTACATTCACCCGAACCAAATTAACTTCTACACTGCGCAGATGCAATTGATGTCAGACCCTATCCATATTCCGCGGACATTGCGCCGTTCTGAGTTGTCTGAGTCGGAATTGGTTCGCGGTTCAGTCTGAATCTGTCCGTCTTTTAACTGACCCTATCGTACAGGAGGGAAATTCCGTGCCTTTACTTGAAAAAGATTGCCTACTTCGTGCCACATCCACCCATTGTCATGCAGCATACGCGATGAAGTCCCTTCTCTTCCTATATCTACAAAATACGGAAAAGTTTACAGAGCTTGCTCGAATTTGCCGTGGTCTTTTTCAGCTTCAAGAAGATGTTACTCTGCTGTCCGAAACTTTCTCAGATCATGGATGCCACTTTCTGGACTTCGCTGTTTGGAAATACCCTCGAGAAGCTGTGGTATGGACACGGAGAGGGAGGTGGGATCCACTATCTATAGCAGGAAGACCCTGTGGTCTGGCCTTGCCTCTGGTTTCCTGACAAGGATATCTCCTGTTGTGGCTGAGAAGCTTGTTATCGCGGTGTAAGGTTGGTGGAGATTTTGGACAATCAAATACAAAGAATCAGTTCTCTACTCCAGTAGCATGCTCTTGCCCACGAAATCAAAGGACTCTCGCCCAACAGCATCATCGCTCGGCCCATGAGATGAAAAGACTTAGTGAAAAACCAGTTACAAGAGAGATTGAGGTAGCATGAATTACAGTTGAAGCCGAATAAATTGCATCTGGAAGGTCCGTCCATGGTTAAGAAAAATGGGTTGGACGGTCCGTCCGCGCCTAATAAAAACGCGTTGGACGGTCCGTCCGTGGCTAATAAATTCGAGGTGGACGGTCCGTCCGCATTTAATAAATTCGCGTCGGACGGTCCGTCCGAATGTTATTAACATTCCGGCTTGGAATAATTGTTAGGGTGTCTCTATAATGCGCTTCCACACCAAGATCGTCAGCCACAGAACACAGGTCCATGTCTGTGCATAGCGTGACAGTGTTGCGTCCCGAAGCTGTCGGAATTTCTGCTTCTCATTGACTTGCTGCTCCTGATCAAACCTGGGCTTCATGATTTCCTGCCTGACCATGAAGGGCATTCACATGATCCGTGATTGCAGTGCCTTGTGGTAGGCAACCATAGTCTTCCCCAGCTCCTTGCGGTTGAACCTCAGGCCAATGTCCTGGTTTTGTTCCCCGACAACATCTTTCCACGTGATGCGCTCGTTGATCTTTTGGCTGCTCCTGTGCCTAGGATCCACATGGTGAAAGTCGCAACCAAGAATCCAGGGAGGAAGCTCTTCAGATAGCTTCAAGGCAGGGACAGAGGTGAATGCGTCAGCAAGCAGCATCTGCAGGCTTGCCTTCTGCATTTCAGTGAGCTGCAAGGATGGATCAGGGGAATAGGGTGCCAGAGGAGCCATTTGCACGACCCAGTAACCGTGAAGTCCATAGTACGGCATGACAATACTCTGGACTTTGACCTGCTTTGGAGAGGTACTTCTTGCTGCCGGATTGGACTTGCAACAATGCTTTTGAAAGGTAGATAAGGTGCCACACACATAGCCGCAGCCTCGGCACTGAAAACCATCCTGTACACAGACTCCTGGGATTGGGGTAAATGAGGCAAGCTTGTTGTTGTCTCTGTCTATACGCTCCAGAATGACCTTGTTGTTCCACAGCAGTGTAAGCTGGTTAACCACGTTTAGATTCAAAAGTGCTCTTGAAGCAATCAGGCGGGTGCTCCTGTCGACCTGACTGTGGTACTTTTGGACATGGGCCCCGCATGAAGACGCGTCCACGAGAATGCCACAGCTGATACAAACCAGCACACCAAACTCTTCTGCTATGAAGAAATCCAAGGCTATGCCGGGAGGATAGGAAATGATAGAGGTGAGATGCTTTCAGCAGTCCTGATGAAGGAAGCTTACGCCTAAGGTTTCCTGTAGCTATGGTGCTCTGAATCAGAGGGTTGTTCACAGGGTTCTCATTGTGAAGGGGTGCTATACGTACGTTGGCGAGGTCCTCTTCGTAACTGTCATTGTTGAGGCTGTTCTTATCTCTCTTGACAGTGCCTTGCAGAATGCGAAGAACCATGTCAACCCCTTCTTAGCCAGCAGCCGGGAGGCCCGCAACCTTGAACGCGTCGCGTAGGAACTCCTCGGTATGAACTCTAGGATTGGTGCCCAACCCTTCCTTGGCGGGATGGGAAGCTCGACAATGCTTCCTCAAAGCATCTCTCTCCTTGTATTCCCTGTGGTCCTTGCCAGTGCAAAGCGTGCACACGAGCATGCCATCTTCCCTGGTGATCCACTCCATCCTGGGTTCCTTGATGCGGTTGCTCAGCTGGTCTAACATGGACATGATCGAGATTGGCCCAGCTACTCAAAAAACATGAGCCCTTTAGTGAGAAAGGTCGAGATTGGGTATGTTCACATGTAGTGAGAAGCTCACCAGGGGCAGATTTAGGAGTGGTTTCAGTGATACCTGGTTGAACAAACTCATTGCAGTCCATTGCAGAAACATCACTG